CTGTTTGGCGAAGTCTTGGGCTGTGTGCCCGCCTGCAGGTGCGAAGCCCTGTGGACACGTGCCCGTGAGACCTTGTTTGCAGAAACGGGCAATGTCTCTGGTTTGCCAGCTCCTGTCTAGACCCCACACATTTTGCTGAAATTCCATTCTGTGTTTCCTGCTGTGGAAGAGAACTTAGTCTGTTCACGTGCCAGCTTGGGGACAAACCGCAGTGTCACAGCTCAGATGACTCCCATGAGTGTGCAGCCTGGCAGTGAGTGTGGGTCACAATTCATACAGTTACTTTGTGCTTTTCAGAATGTTTTCATGCCCTTGCTTTCGTGTTAGACTTGAAAGTTCCTGCAGGCAGAGTTGCTGGGACCGTCCCTGCCTCTCGCCCACACTGACCCGCGTCTCTCCCTGCAGCGTGTACTCCGGACACCAGTCCATCCTCATCCCGCCCTCTGAGCTGGAAGCCAACCCCGCCCTGTGGCTGCTCGCCGTCAGCCAGTACAAAGTCCGGGACACCTTCTGCTCCTACTCGGTGATGGAGCTTTGCACCAAGGGGCTGGGCTCACAGACCGAGTCCCTCAAGGTGAGATGCCCTCACCCACCCCCTGGGACCGGGACATTCTCAGGGTCTGAGGACAGCTGTGTCCCAGGGCACGGAGGGGGCCGCCGAGTTTAAAATGACCTTTACCGAGTCGAAGTGTAATCTGTCACCTGCAGCCTGCAAATTGTTTCCACATGAAAACCTTGTTTTACCACAAATCTGTCCCCACCGCCACCGAGAGGCACAGGTTCAAGTGAACACTTGATGCCCTGAATCCCACGATGTCTGCTTGTCTCGTCCCGAGTCGCCTTTTTCTTTGGTGGCGAATTTGCTCTTTGGCACGGTTCATTTTATCCTCACTCGGATAAAATGAACTGTTTTCCTTGAAGGTCCTGATCTGCAGGTCTGGGCCCCAAACGGGACTCATTTTTGCAACCCAGTGAGCAGTGGTTTGGTGTCCTTTATACGTGATTGCTATTATGTGAGAGTAACATCATTTCCCTCTGCATAAACCAAGGACGTTTTGCTAGACATGTTCTCATGGTAAATCAAGTTGTCCTCCAGGTAGCTGTGCGGGAAGATCCATAGAGCCTGCTTCGATCTGTGTCTTCCACTAGGGGATGCCCAGATACGTGGGCGTCTGTGTGCACAGACCGCCTGTGTGTGCGCGTGCACGTGCCGATGGAGAGGCACTGCAGCTTCCCTCCTGAGTTTTGTTTTCCTTTCCAGACCTGACGTGTTAAACTTGAACGGAGAAGTAAAATGGAAGATAACTTTGGTATTAAGTCATTTGAAGTTACATGTTTATGCAAGAAAAGAAATTTATAAAATGACATTATTACTCAGGTTCACCTGTATTCTGTGACAAAACTTCTGAGTACGTTTCTTCAACAATACCTATACATATTAACAAAATGAAATAATATCTAATTGAGTGGTTTCTGAGCACTTTACCCGTTGATTCATTTAACCTTTACAGTAGAGCTCTGCAATAGAAACCGTGATTGTCTTCCCTTTTAAAATGAAATTTAAATTACAGAGAAATTAGCAGCCTTCCCCGGTTCTCGCAGTTAATAAATGTTGGGGCTGGGTTTTGAGTCTCCGGCGGCAGGCGCAGCTTCTCAAGGCGCCGGCCACATCGCCTCCCACACCTGAGTGTGTGCGAACCATTCGTGTTGCCTGGATTCTCGTGTGTCCTGTGTAGCTGCGCATGTCGGGTCGCGTCTGTGCCCGCCTGGGTCCCCGTGCATCCTGGGATGTGTTCCCTGTGCGGTTCAGGCCCCCGTCGCTGTCCCTGTGCCCTGGCCACCTTGCAGGGCTTGAAGGAACAAGTGGGTTTGCCTTTGGTGGTTGTCTGGAGACACAGCCACTCAGCACTCACCTCGTGTTTAAATGCAGCTGCTAGTGCTCAGGAAATCGCAGCTGTCACCACAGGCAGCGTCCTTAACTCACTGGAATGTCTCAGGTTTGCCATTTTGCTCCTTTGACTGAGGTGCAGCTCGGAGTGCACTTGATCGTGCGTGAGCCTCGGAGGCAGAGGCACTTGGGTCCTGACCGTTGTTACGACCTTTGAAGTCTCATGGGATGTCAGAGGTGGCTGCCTTTGCCATGGTCCCGCACATGGCTTTCCGTCCCTGCAGTGAAAGCAGACCCCTCACTTCTCCCCACACGGCTGTGCCCTGGGTCCGTGGCACCCACGAACACTTCCCACCCTCCAAGCCCTGTCCCCGTCCTGTCCCATGGCCTCTGGCTGTCAGTACACTGCTCGTGACAGCCTCTGTGGCCTCTGGTGTGTGCGTGACTGACTTTCCTGCGTGGCGCCGGGACCTTGGGGTGGAGATCTGTGAGGGCGCGGGCTGCCTGGGCGGGTCGGGGTGAGGGGACCGCACACCTGAGCCTTGGACGGCTGACCTCTTACCGCCGTCCTTGCCTCCAGGCACGAGGACTGGACTTGTCCCGCGTGCGGACGTGTGTGGTGGTGGCAGAGGAACGGCCTCGGATCGCGCTCACCCAGTCCTTCTCGAAGCTGTTCAAGGACCTGGGCCTCCACCCGCGGGCCGTGAGCACCTCACTCGGCTGCCGGGTGAACCTGGCGATCTGCTTGCAGGTGAGTGTCGACGCCGGTGCTGGCGTGAGTCTCCCCTAACGGCCGCTGTGCGGTGCCCGCTCCAGCTCAGCCTGGGCCCTGGGCGGACGTGTCACGACACTCAGAAGGTGTCTGTTAGTGAACCGCAGGCGACGGTCGCCCACGCGTCCCTTCAGTCTGCGTTCCTCCTCAGCGTTCCTGGCGCTCATCCCGTCCCGGAGCGTTTTAACTTTGGGAAGACCGGCCGCGGCCTCCCAGGCCTCTAACGTCAGGTTGTCTGGAGGTCAGACGCTAGACGAATGTTTCATTCTGCCAAGAAACCCTGTGTCTTGAAGCACTTGCCTCATGTGCGTGGACAGCCATTTCTGTGGGAGAATCCAGTATGAGGCGGGTTCGGGAGTTTGCTGCTGTGACGGCCGTTCAGGAATCAGTTATGGCTGCATCTCTGTGGCACGGGGAGGCGAGGCCACCCCCGACGACAGCCTCGCATTAGCCACGGCTGCAAACACTTGTCTTCCCCTCTCGTTAGCCCCTCTGAGACCTGCCCTGCCCGTCCCCTCTCTGAGTTCCTGATGTGACGCGTGGTGCCGAGTCAGCACAGCCTGACGGGCGGGCGGGGGGTGGGGGGTGCGTGGAGGGACCCTCTGCCCGAAGCCCTCGCTGCAGCCCACCCTCGGACACGGCAGGTGCTGGGCACAGACTGCTGTCAGGAGTCCACCCCCCCACCCAAACCCCCATCCCCTCCATTTATGACCCCAAACGTGGCTGCAAATGACAGAGTTCTCACCCTCGTGGGCTGTCTCCTCATAGCCAGCGGCATGGACCATCCGCGTGCCGCGTGCGGGGCCCTTCGCCTCCCCCCGTGCGGCGGGCAGGCCGCAGCCAGGACCGCGCAGTGGGGTGGCTCGTCTTAACACGGGCGTCTTCGTCTCCTGTTCTTCGCCTACACACGCCTTCGGTCCAAGATCGAGATTCTCCTGAAGAACTTGAGTTTTTGAGACACATCACGAGGGGCTCCCTTATCTTTGGCTGATTCGTTTTAGATTCAGAGTATTGCATTGCCCTCCCAAGAAACACACGTCAAGTTTGGGTCTGTTATGTAGCTTTAATGACATTGCTCTCACGTGGGCAGAGCTCACCGAAGTCAGCTCGGTGACTGTTGTGAGGGGACTCGATGCGAGGCGGGATTTCTGGCCCGCTGGTTTGAACCAGGAGCCACACGGCTCGGACCAGAGTGCTGCCCAGCTGGTTAGAGATAAACACGCAGTCTCCGTGACCCCGTCCCAGACCAAAGTGACCTCCCTTGGCTGGAGGGAAAGCGAAGACACGAGTGGAACTCAAAGGAACAGGCTGGGTGTCGTGTGCCGCTTCCGAGACCCGTCCGCCGCACGTTCTGCTGCAGCGGCTCGAGCTCCAGGTGCTGTGGACACGTGTAGCACGATCTCTGAGCAGACGAAGCTTCGCGTGCCTGGCAACCGGCTCTTGCCGGGCAGACATGGTCTCGGCCACGTCAGCCTTTTACTTGGTAGGACGTGTGGCCTGCTTCTGTTCTCTGCCACTTTTATAAATGACTGACAGGCCGTGAGAAAGCCCCGTGTCACCCTGATAAGTCCCCTTTGGAATTCGGGTCATGGGCCTGGAAGTGGTCAGCCACGGTGGACAGCTGTGGTTCGGTGGGTTTAGTTTTTGCTCAGTTTCAGGTTTCACTAAAGAAACGTGGCCCAGCGTGGTCGGCAGCTGCCCCGATGCCTCCCTCACGTGCGTGAGCTCACTGCGCTGTGTCCTTGCAGGGGACCTCAGGACCTGATCCCACCACGGTCTATGTCGACATGAGAGCCCTGAGACACGACAGGTATGGCGTCTCCTGGCATCCCCCCCGGGAGAGGGGGCGGCGCGTCTCTGCTGCAGGCCGTCCCCGAAGGAGCAGCTGGGGTCACCCCTCCCACTCGAGGACCAGGGCGCCCTTTTCATTCGAGATGTGAACGGCAGGGGCTTCCAGGGTGGCTTTTTCTCAGTGTCCCTGGAGTTCGTGGCTCTCCTCCTCGCCGTTTCTGCGGGCGAGGTGTCAGTTCACACCCCCTAAACCAACACGTTTCTTACCTGAACCGAGGCATTTCCCTAAAGAGCTGAAATGCAGTCAAGTTACTTTCCGTGCAGCTTCCCAGCAGCCCTGAGCAGGAGTGGGGGTGGCGAGGGTGGGCACTTCCAGGGCCCCTGGGGGGCGGGGGCCGGTGAGAAACCGACGGGACTTTCTCCCGGAGCAGCACGGCCGGTGGAGAGGCCTGAGCGGGAGGGGCGTTCCCAGTCAGCAGATGGTTTCCGTTTGGGCTGAGGCGGTGTCCGCTCACTGTCGCTGGTGTGAGGTGACTGAGGGCGAGGACACACACCCCCACACCCCGGTCACCCTTTCCCGGCCTCATTCAAGTCCCAGGTTCTTTGTCATGCGTGAGGACAGCTGCTGGGAGCTGAGGGCAGCACCTGGACCCCACGCGGTGTGTGCTGGTTCCTCTCTCCTCTCCCTCAGGGACTGACAGACAGACACCAAAGCAGCCCTGCTGCACAGCACGTGCGACAGCCCCTTCCGCGGCGTCCGTCCCCAGGGCTGGGCCCCAGGCACTCCCACAGTCTCCACAGAGCCCGTGCCACGCCCGCGGCCCTGTGCTTTGCTTGTTCTCGGCCACCTGCCCTGGCAGCTCGGTCCTGGACCTCGGTGACCCCATCTCTGTGTGCGCCTTGCTCGTGCGGCCCCACCTGGCCCTCTTTAGAAGGTGGCCCAGGATCTCCAAGGTGCTCCTCCTCCTCAGGGGTCAGGTCCCAGCCTCCCTGGCCACTCCCATCCGTGTGCACAGCATGAGCAGCCCCTGTGAGGACACCATCCCACACGGAGTCCCCAGTGTCACTCCCGACCTCGCAAACCCACGTGTGCACAGCATGAGCAGCCCCTGTGAGGACACCGTCCCACATGGAGTCAGTCCCCAGTGTCACTCCCGACCTCACAAACCCGTGTCAGATCTGCTTCATGCTGCAGCTGATGTGCAGTGTGGGCTCTGGGGTCTGGCCGACCAGTGTTCAACTCCATCCTTGGTCCTTGGACAGGCTCTGTCCCTCAGATGCCCTGGGCTCAGAGAGGCCCAGTAAAACCAGCCTTCAGGGGACCCTCGAAGTGCCAGTGGGGATCAGCACTGTCACCAGGCCTCTAGTGGGCAGGAGGACTGTCCTCCCCAGGGTGAGGAGGTGTCGTCCTGTGGAGAACTCATCTCTCCATCCTCCAGCACCCAATGCTGTCCCTGCAGAGGGGACCCAAGGACAGAAGTCGGCTTGGCCACTCCGAAACCCCAGGCAGGATTGGTGAGGCAGGAGAGCCTTTCAGGCTGGTGACCTCACTGCCATCTTGCCATTCCCGATAAAACAACAGGCTGTCGTCGTCCTAACGCGAGCTGTTCAGCAGCCTCACCTTGTCACGTTTTTACAAACGGAGGGCAAGACCCTCCCGCAGAGGCCACGACCCGCTCGGCCGTCGTGCTCGTGGTACTTCATGGGCCATCTGGAGCCCAGCTCCAGTGTCCCTGAGGCGTGTCTGTGACCCCTGGTTACAGGGCAGGTCGCTGTCCCTGCAGCACCTTCACCCGGGGGCCCAGTCGTCACCCGTCAGGCTGCAGCTTAACTTGTCAGTGCAGCTGTGCACGTCTGTGAGAGAGCGTGCGTGGGGCACACGGAGGGTGGGGGGTGACGGCCACCATGGACAGACAGGTTCCCCAAACTGAATCAGCGTCTACCCGATTTTCTGCCTCTGTTTCTTGGAACGAGGGTTTGTGATTTGGTGGACGTGGTCACCTTGCACCATGAGGACTCTGTCCGCCACCTCGGGATGGCTGCAGCCCCTGTGTGCACAGCGGGAAGTGATGAGGCCGCTGCGAGACCGTTTGGGGGGCACCGTTCGTTTTTAAAATACTCTTTACCACGAGTTCGTTGAAGACAGACTCGCGGCCTGGCCGGCCTTTTCAGTCTGACCCTTCAGCACTTGAATTTTGCAGATGGCATAGGAAACAACACCTTTTTCTTTCAAAGAAATAGTTTGGGGAGTTAGATCTTAGAACGCGACGTTAGCGGAAGGCTTGAGCGGAGGCTCCCGTGGCTTCCTCGCTTGCCCCTGCTGACGTGACGAGAGCACAGAGGAGCGTGGGCGTCTTCCACGTCCTAGTCAGTGGCTGTGGAAGAGGCGCGTCGGACACCACGACTCGCCAGCAGGGAGGGGTGAGGCGAGTGACTGGAGAGGGTCCCGCTCTGTGGTCCTGTGTGTGGTGCCCGTGTGGATGTCACTGTGTGAGCGTCACCCGTGTGTGTGGATGTCACTGTGTGAGCGTCACCCGTGTGTGTGGATGTCACTGTGTGAGCGTCACCTGTGTGTGTGGATGTCACTGTGTGAGCGTCACCCGTGTGTGTGGATGTCACTGTGTGAGCGTCACCCGTGTGTGTGGATGTCACTGTGTGAGCGTCACCTGTGTGTGTGGATGTCACTGTGTGAGCGTCACCCGTGTGTGTGGATGTCACTGTGTGAGCGTCACCTGTGTGTGTGGATGTCACCTGTGTATGGTGCCCATGTGTGTGGATGTCACCCCTGTGTGGATGTCACTGTGTGTGAGCGTCCCCCGTGTGCGTGAGTGGACTGTCCATGCAAAAGGGTTTGCTGGGTGGCTGCCTGAGTCCTCGCCTTGTCGTTCGCGTGGCCCTGGTCACGGCAGCTTGGGGGCAGCACCTTCGGTGGGGTTTGCACCCACTGCCCGTTCTTATCACTGAACCATGTGTCAACGTTTGGTCCCCAGTGCTAGGACGTGGTGCTCGGATGACTGTCCAGCACGGGCAGCCTCCCGTCTGCACCCCTGCCTCACAGTTCACTACCTCACTGTCCCAGCCCCACTGGGGACTAAACCGAGCCCTAGGAAGCCTGTGTGGCAGCAGCGAACAGTCAGTGTCGTGACGTTCACGAGGCTCAGGACCCACTTTCCAGCTACATTTCACACCCTGTCTGTGACGTGGTGACAAGGCTGCTTGCCTCGCGCGGTTGCTGTGATGGGGACGTGGTTGATACACCTGCACAGGGCACAGTGACAGCGCCTTCTGGTCGTGAGGCTTGGTGCGTGCGAGCTCAGATTGCACGTCTGCATATCCCAGCTGTGTGCACACTCGCAGGTCGGCTTTCTAGCACGTGGGGCCATGTCCAGGCGCGAGGACAGCCTTTGATTTATGGATTAGCCGCCTTAATAGCTGGCACTGATCAGAGTTTCAGAGATCAGGAACATTCGGTGGTTTCCGTGTTCCTCACGAGGTATACACGGAAGTCAGGCGACTTTAGCAATGGACAGAACTGAGCAAAAGTAAGTGTTTACGCTTTACAGCAGCCACGAGCTGGCGGGAGGTGGATGTCTAGCTCCCGTCCCCCCACGAGGCCCGCCTCCGCCATGCCTTCATGGTTTCCACCAGCCTCTCCTGACAAAGACACGGTCCCCAGTCTTCTGCCCCATCAGAATTTGGCAGAACAGCCCCCCTCACGCCCCCTGCAGCCGGCCCGCACCCCGAGGAGGGAGCGGCGAGTTCTTCCCCGCATGGCCCAGGACCCCTGGGGACATGCATCTCCCAGAGCTCTGCAGTCTCGTCACCCTAGCATGTCCTGACCCCTCTCACTTCGTCCCGTCAGGAGATCCCGAGAGAAAGTTAAACCCACCGACGAGCCAGCACCGGGCACCAGCGAGCAGTGCGACCCTAGACCGAGTCTCTGAGCCTCCAGGCCCCGTCTCCTGGTGAGGGGTGCCAGAACCTTCCAGGGCCGCCCCTGCTCGGGGTCCCACTCCCAGCTGATGCCCAGTGCTGGGCAGCGTTTGCGAGGCCCTGTGCAGTTCAGGAGCCCGGAGTCTCGGCTGGCTGTGCCTTCCTCTGCTGGAACCGTGTGGGGCTTGCGAGGGGCCGTCCCCTCAGGCGTTGGGTGAAGGAAGTCACAGCGGGGTCTGCGTTGCAGCTCAGGCCTGAAGGAGCCTCGGGGCCTGACGCCTGCGGTCAGCACCCAGAAGGCCCTGTGGTCTCCCAGGCGGAGCCCGCTCCTTTGTCCCAGCGACGCGTTCCCTGGGGGCACAGGCCTCGGTCTCCCCCTTTGTCTTCGCAGTGGTGTGTGTGGACGAGCAGCCGGTGGGGTCAGGTGACGAGAAATGCGGGTCGGGCCCCCCCATGGGTCCCACAGTCCCGCTGTTAGCAGCAGAGCCGCCGGCCTCGTCCGGCCTCGCTCACGTCTGCGCGTGGGGCTCGTGAGTCGCCGCCGCCTCCACCTCGTCCCCCCACCACTGGGGGAGGGCGTGCTGGCACGTCAGGGGCGTTCTCTTTCACCAGTGAACGCCGGAATGTTCTGCGACAGGGACAGAGACTCGACGAGGCCCACGCTGCCTTCCGCTGGGCGCTGTGGCTGGCCATCGCGGGCAGCGCCGGGCGCCGAACGTGGAGCGGGCCCCGTGCGAGTCACTGAGTGATGCCTCTGCTTCCCTTTGCAGAGTGCGCCTGGTGGAGCGAGGGTCCCCTCACAGCCTGCCGCTCATGGAGTCCGGAAAAGTAAGTATTGCGAAGAGACACACACCTCTGTGCGAGCGTGAGCCTGCGGGTGTGAGCTTCAGTGGGTTAAGAAACGTTTTAGAATATTTTTTCCAAAAAATTTTCCTGAACGTGGCATGTCAGGACTAGGTTTGGTCATGAGTACAGAAGCTCAGAATAACAGTGTTTTAAAGGAGTTAGATTTTTTCCTCTCATGTAAAAAAACCGGTAAAGCCACCAGGGTCCCTGGCACTTCTGTCCTGTTCTGCTCTGCATCAGCCCCACTCCCAGGGGTGCCTCAGGGCCTCAAGCAGCTGGTCCAGCTCCGGCCATCGTTGTCAAGTCCCAGCTAAGCAGAAGGAGAAGCAGAAAAAGGAGACAGATGGTGAGACCCAGAGGCGGCTCCTGCGCCACCTCATTTCCCACATGTCGTCACATGGTCACACCAAGCGGGAGGAAAGCCGGGGACCTGATCGTGGCTCCGCACACTCCTAGGCCTGGCTGACAATCAGGGCGGTTACTGTGGACACAGACAGAGCGATCGCCAGGCAACAGCCGGGAGCCCCTGCCCCACCAGCTGTGTTCCCTCTGGAAGCAGAACCAGAGACGGGCTCAGACCTAAATGGAGACCTCGTTTGTCAGCTCCCTTCCCACTAAGTTCTCAAAGCACCTCGTTGCTTCTGCATCTTTCACGACTGTCTGCGTGGCCACCAGCTGGACTCCTCCCTTCTGAGCAGCCGCTGACGTCGGAGGCGGTGATGACCACACCCCAGCCCTCGGCACGGCCCCAGGTGCCACCTGGCCTGGCCGTCCTGCGTGGATTGCTGGATGGCAGGCTGTGTCCAAACTTGAGAACCAGCATTTGCCTCCCTTACGTGTGTGGTTTCAGTGGGATTTAAGACTTGCCTATGTAAAACATCCATGAAGACGACGACGCTCGATGTCGACGTGCCGTAGCAGACGTTTGTCGCCTGCAGGAAAATGACGGGCGGGAGGGGCGCAGGCGTCTGGCGGTAAGGCCCAGACGGCCACCAGTGACACGCCAGAGCGGCTCCCGCCCACACGTGTCTGGAAGCCGCCCCAGCGTCTTCGCTCCGTGTCCACCGCAGGCTCGCCCTTCATGCTCACGTGCCATCCTGCGAGGCGTAGCGTTAAGCAGACTGAAAAGAATCATGAAAATATCTAAAAACTCCTGTTTTGTGTCTGTGTGAGAAACATCCAAACCTGTAGAGAATTTTTATGAGTTTATTGGAATCAAACTGATCACGGTTGCTGGGGAGTGAGATCTCACACGCTCCAGAGAGGGACAGTTTGCATTTGGAATTAGGGAGGGGACGTGGGAAGGTTACGAGGTCGGGGGGAGCCAGGCGGGGGTGGATTACAGGACAGGTGACAAGATCACCTGCTCTCCTGAGGGCCGTTACGCTTAGTTCAAAGGTGCCTTAACCTAGACGCCCAGAGACAGTGGACAGGGCTGGCTCAAGGCAAAGGCGAGCCTTTTACTAAGGAAGTTACGTGCCGGGGTGTGACTGTCCCCCGTGACCCGATCAGTTAGGGACTTAGGGTCAAACCACCCGTGAGGTTAGAACCCCTTTTCATCCACATTTATTTGCGGGCAGCAGGCCGTGTTAAATTACGTCGTTTATCATGTTTTCGTTCAGATCCTTCGTTTTTGGGTCATTTTAACAGCTCTGCCGTTGTAGTAATTGCAGGGCGGTTCCTGCGCCATCGTCACAGTGTCACAGTGTGTGATTTTGATCTAAAGCCGAACGACTTTCCGAACAGTTCCAGGAAGGAAGGACGCAGGCACGCGGCGCGAAGGCCGGACCGGGGCTGACTGGTGTGTGGCACCTGCCTGTCCGCCTGCTCACTGACGAGGCCGTTCTTTCCCACGTAGATACTTCCGGGGGTTCGGATCATAATCGCCAATCCAGAAACGAAGGGACCGTTGGGAGACTCACACCTGGGCGAGGTGAGTTAGGGGGTGGCCCCTGGGACTGTAGTCTCTGAGGGCAAACCCACTCTCCTGCCGTGTGCCTCCTGCTCTCGGCCACCGGCAGACATGTCTCCGCTGAGCGCTGTGTGCGTTCTGGTCACACTGCCAAGCTGGGAAGCGGCGTGAGGTAACATGGAAGCTCAGGACCACAGGGCGGAGCTCCTTACGGAAGTGTGCTCGTTCCCGTCAGAATCTCTGAGAGCAAAGTGGGGATCCTCACTCCTCAGCTCCTGTGTGTTTTCCACGAGGCTGCCATCTTCAGGGGGCAGGCTGTCAGCAGAACAGCGATGGGGGACCTCACGGGGCACCATCTGCCACTCGAATCGTGCCGGCAGGCTGGGCAGTGTGACAGGCTCGTCGGCCATTGGCCATCGGCCAAGACGCTCTGCCCTTTGCTCCCTGGCGTGTGGGGAAGCATGCTCTCGCCCCCACGCTGCTCACCACACGCGCAGGAGAAAGCTGGCCACGTGCCTCTCCCTGACAAGCCTGCCCCCTCCAGGGAGCTCTCTAGGGCATCAGCGGATGTGTCCCCTTCCGCTCTCCAGGGCCGAGCCTGCCCGGTACGGGTGTTTGAGCTGCACACAGCTGCACCCAGGCCTGCCGCCGTGGCTGACGTTACGTAAGAAACACAACCAGTGCTCTTCCCCGAGTGACACACAGGGGGACAGACGTGCATGGTGTAAGGGCGTGGACTGGTGGGCTGAGGCACCCCCCACCCCCCCGCTCACTCCCCGTCCCTCCTCCTAGGCCAGCTTCAGCCCCTCCCCCGAATCACCCGATCACACGTGGAGGTTGGAGCTGCAGTGACACAAGCCCGTGCAGATTTTACTAGATCCATCCTAGACATGAGATGGGGCGTCGGGGCTGCGGCCTGACCCCGGAGAGGGCGCCCACGGGGGCTGCCTCCGGCGTGGCCGTGGCCGTGGCCAGGGCCTGCGAGCAGTGCCAGGTGGCTTCCTTGGTAGGAGTGTGGGGGGAGATGGCGCGTCAGAGCAGAGCACAGCGTCTGTCACCCCACTGGGCGCTTTCCAGATTGCTTCTGGAAACGATCATTGCGTTCCAACGAGCCCAGGGAGACGTGCAGCTTTGCTCACTGGATGCGTATCTCTTTAAAATCCTCGATCGACCTGCTTTACCAGAGCTCCCTGTGGGTGGCGGGCAGTCGTCCCTGCGGCCACGAGCTTGCCAAGGCACCTTCGTGTCAGTCAGCTGTGGCATCTGTGTCTCCCCAGCATGGGGATGAGATCGCAGGGTCCTCTCTGCGGCCTGGGGACCCTGCGTCACTGGGTGTGACTTCCTGAACCATAGCGGCAGTTCTGTCCCTGGGGCCTCCCTTGGGTCAACTCAGGGGCCACACCCTCCCCCACAGATCTGGGTTCACAGCGCCCACAACGCCAGCGGCTACTTCACTGTTTACGGAGACGAGTCCCTGCAGTCAGACCATTTCAGCTCCAGGCTGAGTTTTGGGGACACCCAGACCATCTGGGCGCGGACAGGCTATTTGGGGTTTCTGCGGAGAACTGAGCTAACGGACGCAAACGGAGGTGAGTGCAGCCAGGCGGGCGAGGGCCGGGCCCCCGACAGTGCAGCCTGGGTGGTTCAGGGTCCCAGGCCCAGGACGACGCGCACGCCGGCCACCAGCCGGCCCTGAGCAGAGTGTGCCCGTCACACGGCGGGCGGCATCGCCTTCTCTGCTCCACGCGAGCCGGGGACGGGTTTAAGTCTAAGGGTGTGTCCTGGTCTCGCCCCCCGGGAGACTCTGAGGAGAAAGGCACACGCCACCCGCAGGAGCCAGGAGGTGCTGCTGAGGACGTGTGACCGGGCGTGACGGGGACAGACCTCAGCACCTGCTCTGCCCCGCGGGCCAGGCCCGGCCATGGAGGTGCCGCCTTGCGGGGCTAGCGCTCCTGCTGGCACCGTCTCGGGGCCGCGGCCAAAGGCTGCCTTGGAGCTGCTCCCCCCAGCTCGGGGACCCCTTCTTCGTGTCCCATTCAGGAGTCGTTTTAGTCTTTTCTGTGAGCGGCTGGAGCAGCTCGCGGTGACTGTGGTGGTTCTCGTCCCCTGCAGAGCGCCACGACGCCCTGCACGTGGTGGGGGCCCTGGACGAGGCCATGGAGCTGCGTGGGATGAGGTACCACCCGATAGACATCGAGACCTCCGTCATCCGGGCACACAAAAGTGTCACCGAGTGGTGAGTGGGGCGTGCGTGCGTGCGTGACAGCGGGGACAGTTGAGACCGATGGACTGGACCTTGCTCTTAAGGCAGGTGACGTGCAGGTCGAGCTGGTGCGCCCAGGTCCCGAGAACAGCCGAGGACGGCTGGGTGGCATCTCCTAGGCACCCAGGTCATCACTGATTTGGGTTTTAGTTTTCCAAAGCACGACGACGTAGGGCGAGCGGACTGCTCATGCACACAGGCACGGGGAGCACACTTGTGACTGTCCTCGACGGGACTGTGAAAGTTGGTGTGACGCGTGGGATGGTGTTAGGTGAGAACAAGGCAGAACAACATCAAAGCCAGCAGTGACAAGGCACCCATCCCAGGCACCCATGGTGGGCAAGGTCATGGAACCTGGGGTTTGGCCGCTTGGCCGGCTGTGACAGGAGGTGTGTGTGGCAGGCCATGGTTCCTGGCGCCGGTCTGGGGCTGCGGTGCAGCCACATTGTCAGGTCACACGGTGCCTTCCGGTGGTGTCTGAGGAAGAGAGCGTGTCGGCCTGTCAGCTGTAGGTTTGCTTGCTCGTTTGCTCCCTACACTGGCAGACACGTGACACAGCTGGGCCAGGCTCAGGCTGCAGCCCCCCGGGTGGCTCGCCCCGAGTCTGCCGGCAGTTTTTCTGGTGGCTGAGGTTTCTCAGGCCTCGGCCGTGGACAGCAGGCTGGTGGTGTTGCCCTTTGCTACATAGGGCTCGGCAGGATACAGGAGACGAGGGGCTGTGTGTGCACAGTCCCGCAGTTCAGTTGGTGACCCGCTGGCCCTGGCCCTGACCCAGAGCCACCCCCAGAAGCGGCATCTAAACTGTCTGTAAATGGGTCTTCGGCCACGCCACCCTGAACACGCCAGAGCCCATCTGATCTCAGACACTAAGCAGGGTCGGGCCTGGTTAGCATGTGGATGGGAGACCAGGTGCTATTGCTGTAAAAAGTAAAGAGTAAGGGACTGTAAGCTGACAAGGTCCTTGTAGTCTGTGAGATCAACCAAGGGTTACCGCACCTAAAAGATGAACTGTCTGTAAATACCTCACAGCCTCCCGTTTTCAGATGTTTACTTCCCTCGAGTATTCATTCTCTCTCTCCAGTTGCCAACAGACTTTCCACCTTAAAAGTGTGTGGCAGGGCCCTGGCCCATGCCTCCCGTTCCGGTCAGTGTCACTGCTGTCCCCTGGTATGGCCTCGCCAGTGGGCCTCCACCCAGCTGCGCACGCAGGGCCCAGAGGGGAGAGGGCGGGCGGCACCGCCCTGCGGGGCCCCAGCCCTCACCTCCCCACCAGCTCACGCCCAGCCTGGGAGGGAGCACGTGACCCCTGCCATGTGACGTGACTACCCCATGACCGCCAGCCCAGCCAGCTGAACCTTCCCCTCCTTGTCAGCTGTGCTCTGTCAAACGTGCTCGGCCCGGAGGGAGCCTGTGCCTGTGCCTCACCGGCCCCAGCTTCCCGCAAGCCCCTCCTCGAGTGGCCCGATTTCTCTCACCATGTCACTGGTTTCAAATGCCGTATTGAATTGTACTGCAAGTGACTGTCAGAAATACATACCTGATCTGTGATGTCACCAGCTGACAGTGTGGACAACTCGGATGTACAGTGACATCCACTGTCACAAAGACCGTATGACGGGCACACGCAGCACCAGCACCCTCTGGGGACACACACAGTCACAGCCCGCACCCAGGACAGGTCTTAGAGCACATTCTCCACAATTTCCCGTCGTTTTAACATACACATAGTCACACCGAACAAGATGCGTCTCTTCAGTAGACGTGCTTTCCCACTCTCAGATCAGTGCGTTTCCCAAACGCTCCCTTCCTCGCAGCTGAGGTAGAGAAAGCAGACGCCAGCAGCCACTGCAGGGCTCGTCCTGTCCCCGCGCCCCCCACCCGGGACCTTCCTGGCCTCCGCAGCCAAGCAGAAGACCCTCTAGCAGCCGCTTTGCAAATGCCCGACCCTCTAAGGTGGATGTGGCTCAAAGCGTAAGCTGGCCGTAGGCTCCACATATCGGTCGCTGAGCACTCTGGGGGACCCTCTCGCTGGAAGACCCCAAACGAGACCTTTCCGGGTGAATGTTGGCCGTTGTGAGGGACGTTCCTGTGTGGGTCACTTTTGGCTGCATCAGTCATTTCAACAGTGATCAGTCATTATGCCCCCGTGTTGCAGTTGACCACTGGGGTATCGGGCCTTGGCTTGGCTGGGCCCGTGGGTCCACTGTGTGGGCTGGCGGCTGACATCCTCCTGGAACGTCCCTCTCTGCTGTGGCAGAGGCCGGTCAGCACCAACTAAAATGTCCGAGGGCCCTCCAGCCTCCACTCGCGTCCCACTGGCTGCGCTGCACATGGCCCAAGCTCAGGGGCAGGACAGCCTCCACTCTGAGGGTCACAGTGCACAGACCCAGGGCGGGGCTCCTGCTCCCCCCCACCCCCCCCCGCCACGGGACAGCAGCCGGGGCCAGGGCAGGGCGCTGAGAGGGCGACGCGGGAGCACGCGGAGCAGCCGCTCAGAGCGGAGACGGCAGATCAGGCTCGACAGGCTAAAGCAGAGGGGCTGGGACCGCGTGCCGAGGACACGCAGTGCCAGGGACCCGAAAGGAGCCAAGCGCAGCTTCTTGAAAAGAAACGTGTTGTCCCCTGAAGCCTGCCGTTCAGTGACGCTGTTCTCTTTCTTCCAGTGCTGTGTTCACCTGGACAAACTTGTTGGTGGTTGTGGTTGAGCTTGATGGCTCAGAGCAAGAAGCCTTGGACCTGGTCCCCTTGGTGACCAACGTGGTCCTGGAGGAGCACTACCTGGTGGTGGGGGTGGTGGTCGTGGTGGACATCGGTGTCATCCCCATCAACTCCCGGGGCGAGAAGCAGCGCATGCACCTGCGGGACGGGTTCCTGGCCGACCAGCTGGACCCCATCTACGTGGCCTACAACATGTAGCCCCGCCCCGCGCCTCTCTCCGCCCAGACGCGCTCCCGGCGCCCGCGTTGGCCCCGCACTGCCCCGGGCGGTGTGGCGAGGGGGCACAGCCTCCACCGAGGTTTGCTCAGAGGGACCTCGCATCTCTGCCTTCAGTTTGTTGCAAAAGCTCATTTCAAACCTTTCTTTTCTTTTCTTTTTTAATTATTGGATAATCAGTGCTTTCTTCGTAAATGTGGTATTTTGTTAAGCCAAAATAGCAATTAAAAAATATTCTGCCCTCCAGATGGGTTCTTTTAAACAGTTTATGTAGCGTGACGAGGAATTGTTTTCTCTGTTTTAATGTGTCATGAAACCTTAATGACATGGACCTGTTACTAATCTAAGCCATGGCTAGGTCTCACCTTTTAGGGAAGTCTGCTGAGGTACGAGTAACCCAGACAGCAGCTTCTGATTAGATCTTAGCAGCTTCTTGTCAGAAGTGTGGTGGAGAGACAGAGGCCAGGTCAGCACAGAGCGAGGAGGAGTCAGGGAGAAGGGGCGTTCGGCAGTCACCCTGCAGATATCTTTGTACTAAACTAAAAAGAGAAAATAAGTTAACTTCTTCATATGTAATTATGTACAAAACGTTTAATTTATTTTGATCTCTTTAGAAGTATAAAAGAGAAAAACATTCAAGAATATTAAAGTCTTGTAATGTTTGCTAATATAAAAAAGTGTTGTATTATCTTGCGTGGATAGTATCACAACAAATATATATATATATATATGAAATATAAATTCACTAACGAACAAAGGAGATTTTAACGTTTAAAACGCAGAGCCTGTCACTTGCATGGTGTCCCCTCCACTGTCCTGTAGATAAGAGAGCCTCTGACGCCCGCTCTGCTGATGAGGCATCAGACGGCCAGGAGCCCAGCTCGTGCTGCTTCTGGAGCCGGAGGCCAGGAGGTGAGCCCGCTGCCCGCTGCCCCAGGACGGAGCCGGACTGTGTGAGTGGCGTGCACGGCTCTCTTAGCTGCAGGAACTGTCGCACAATGTTTCCACCTTTCGGTCACTGTCACCCTTTCGGTTAGTGTCACCCTTTTTTGCTCCTCGGTATGGAAAGGAGTGATGTCCTGCGCCCGTTTGCACCGGCTGCGTGGGCCGCCCCCCAGTGGCCACTGTGTGGAATGGACAGCGTCCAAAATAGCTTGAAGGGAAAGACACAGGTGACTGTCGCCCTGGCCAGCTCCCAGGGGCCCCCAGCCACATGAGCAAAGCCCACAGGGACCCCCACCCCCGCGGAGCCACCAGCCAGAGCCTCACCGCCGCCTGCCTTTGCCACCATGGACGACGCATTTCTGACGCCCGTCACCTGCTGCCGCCGCCGCCGCCCCACAGGCCTCGCGCCCAGAGCTCGCCGCACACCCCGGGGTTGACCTGGCTGTCCGTGCCCAGCCAGGCGGGGTGTCAGCACTCCAGCGTGATTGCTTTGTCACCGCCCCGGTGTGACCCTGCAGTGACCCCCGGCACTGGATATACACCGCTGAGACTGTCGCTGGGCAAAGCCCAGACCCCTCGTCATTACGCCCAGGCCACGTCTTGACAGGCCCTCGCCGGACGTGCCAGCAGCAAGGCCTTTGCTGAAAAAGTTTTGTTTGACTTCTGAGACCCAAGGCTGATTGTTTTTTAAAAATTTAAGCGGCATATTTTTTTAATTTGCATGTGGGATGCACCCTCCACCTCACGGTCGTCTGGCTTTGTCCACACTGCTTGACTCATCGCTGAGTGTGACTCTCCACTCGCTCATACCCACAGCCCACCGCCTCGTGCTTCTTGCGGGAAAACCCGCCACGTGGGAAGCGTTCTCTTACACACACCTGTCTTGAGGGGAGGGGCTCAAGGGTCCAGGTAAGATGCTGAGCGGGAAACAACTGCAGGGTAACTTGCATGGGCCAGCTGGGGTCTGAAGCAGCAAGCCAGTGTTGCTGCAGACGCACCCCTCACCTTCCCGACGTCCGCTTCCCAAGCCGGGCCGTGCGGTCATGCAAGCGGCTGGTGACGTCCTGTCACCTCTGCTGCTGGAGTTGAGGCCACAGGTTTGGGGAGCTGGGCTTGGAGCTCCGCCATGCAAGGAAGAGGCAAGGAGGCACCCACCACTGTTTCAGCAATAAAGGAGGACCGTACCGCAGCCGAGTCGAGTCGTTCACGGGCCGTAAGCGATGTTTGTCTTGTGACCTTGTGCTTCGAAGTCAGACAAAACCGTGTGATCAGCGTGCACACAGCCGGGCACACGGTGAACACTGAGACACAGACCTAACCCGACAGGGCGGCTTCCTCATGGTGCTTGTTTATTATATATATTCACCCTGCTTGACACTTTACCCCAGGGACACCGTCCCTTTTATCAGTTGAATGTTAGCAGCGTTACTTCATAGTGTGGTGACTGGTTAGAGAAATCCATGTACTCGACCAATCACGGTTTCAAACAATTTTTATGTGCAAAGGACGGCAACCTGCTCGTATGTTAAACCACCAGTAAGCTTTGTACATCTGTGATAACGCCTGTTTTATATTCAAATGAACAAATAAAAGCTTTTATTTTTGTTGCTCTGAAAGTCGTCGTTCCTTACTTGGTCCCCTGGAAAACTGCCTGGGACGGCGAGTCCTAGGGAGGACACGGTCTCCGGGGGGAGGGACGTGCTGCGCTGTGTGTCCGTGCAGATGATCGTACTTCGGACGGTGTTTAAAATACTAATGTGGGTGTGGACTGCTACAAAAACCCCATGGCGGCAACGGTTCTGTGAAATGTTTTTTAAAATTCTTTTAAAAATACCTAAGTATGTTTGTCCACATTTTGCTGCAAGTGTACAGATTGTTGGTAACTTGGGGACAGCACGCGTGAGTCCTGTACGCAGACACTTCCTGTCCACCGTCCGGAAGGGGACCTTGCAGGTTGCGAGCACGTCTGGAAGGCCACTTCGACCCGATCGCCCGTGTCCAGCTGACACCCAGCAGCGCCGTCTTCGCCAAGATCTGAGGGTCCTCGTGGCTCCATCTGGGACACGTGGCAGGTTCGCCAACCTTCACCTAAAGGCTCCGTCAAGGTGAGTTTTATTCCCGTGAACGTCGAACTCGAATGTGCAGAATCACCAGGCGCAACCTGGGTGCCTGTGTCAACCCCGCTCGTCGTGGGTGGTGCTCAGGCTGTGGAAGCGGGTGCCTGATCCGTGACAGCGTCAGAAGGAACGCTGTGTCACTCATCAGGCCCTCGCCGGCTGTGCCAGCAGCAAGGCCTTTGCTGAAAAAAAGTTTCGACTTCTGAGACCCAAGGCTGATTGTTTTTTAAAAATTTAAGCGGCATATTTTTTTTAATTTGCATGTGGGATGCACCCTCCACCTCACGGTCGTCTGGCTTTGTCCACACTGCTCGACTCATCTTTTTTTTTTTTTGTATTATTGCAAAATAAATTTATTTGAAAATAAACTTTTATAAAAGGTCAGAGGCAATTTGAGATCCCAGATTCAGCTTGTCTTGTAGAAAGATTTAACTTCAAGTAGCACAATTTTGTGTCTGCTTTTAATCCTGAACGTTCTTGAATCATGAAACAGCCAACTGTTCATACAACACACTCAAAATCCGGCTCCAGCACCAGTGGACCCACAGCTGGCAGCGGGCCAAGGGCAACCCAGATGGCGGGGAGAGCCGCCCTGCGTGCCTGTTCCCGGACGGCGTGTGCAGGTACCTGGGTCTGTGTCGCTTCCTTCTGCCGTGCCGTGTTCTGTGTCCTCCGTCTCTGGGCCCAGCCTCGGGACACAGTCAACAGTAGTTGGGCTGGTCGACTGTCACCCTGTGTCCCCAGGACCCTCCCTGCCGTGTCCCTCATGCTGGCTTCCTGATGTGTGTGGACGTGTGTGAACCGCCTTCACCCATCACCTGCCCGGCGGGGGAGCGCGGGGCGTCCCCTCTGCTTCCGCCGTGGGCCTGGCTCAGAGCAGGCCCTCGGTGACCACCCCCCACAGGCGAAGTGACACGGGGCCTGCTGGGGCCGATGGCTCTCGGCACTCCCGGAGATGGGCGGCAGCACAGCAGACACCAGGAGCTTCTGGGAGCGTGACGAGCGTGCCCTTCCCTAACTCGAGGCATGGCACGCCTGGGGCACCGAGTCCAGTGACGCATGCTACGTACCAATGTCCCTGCTGTGTGACGAATGACTGGAAACAGCAGACAGCTCAAGGATGACGAGGAGCCGGGACAAAGGAATTAGAAAGGAGCGACGTTCTGGGCGAACAGACCACCCACCTGTCCCCAGGGCGCCAGCAGGAAAAGGCAACGACAGGGTGAGGGGACGCGGCGGCGGGAAGGGCCGGGTGCGGGAGCCGGGGGGGTGGTGTGCGGGGGTCGCTGTGAGCGGGTGGAGGGGGCGCCTGGACCTCCGCCCAGCGGAACCTCGGGGGGCGGCACGTGTGTTGTGCCCAGGCCCCTTGCTGCCCCGACGGGCCAGGGCTCTGCGCCCGGCTGTAACGTCCACCCGGGGCCCGCTGTTCTCCAGTCTTCCGCTGCCGGGACGGATGTGTCCACCGTGGCCGAGGGCACGGGACGTGGGTGGGGTCCAGGGTGGATGAAGCTGCGCCGGGGCCGGATGGGGCCGGCCAGTCTGTCACCCACAGAGTGTGGTGGTAACGGCATTTCTGTCATCACGAGTGAGGCTGAGCATTTGGAAACTGTGTGGACGGCCACCTGGGCCCCCGTCAGCTGCTCGAGCCCCTTCGCTCCTGGGCTGCCAAACTTGTTGGGAAACAGTGCAGAAGGCATCGAAATGGCGAACGCGGTCGGCGGCCCCGTCCGGCCCGCCCGCCCAGGTTCTCTGCTTTTGCCGTGTTTCAGCTCTTCGCAGGTTTTAATGGTAGGAAACTGCTAATAACCACCATTCCTGTCCACGTCTGCGCAGCCCGTGCCTGCCGACCATGCTGCCCCTCGCCCTGCGAATTAGGACCCCGAACGCATGCTGGAATTCGTTTTCCACCCACGCAGAGTTCCCGGAGTCCTGCTTTGAACGAGCTGCCACATCCCACTGGTGTCCTGAGCGAGACAGGTAAGATCCCCAGCGCCTCTGTGAGGGCCACGTCTGCAGCTCGGCACAGCCGTCGCTTCTGCTGCGGGCTCCGTTAACGGGGGGACCAGCCCCCCGCTAGTGACGAGTTGGAAATCCCACCTTGTGCCATTTCTTTACTTTTTCGCCATGCTGAGATCTTTGTTACGTGTCCACATTTCTTCTCCCGCTCAGATCGGTTTCTTGACCTCTCTGAGCACTTCACGGAAGTGGAATCATGGAGTATTGTCCTTTGGTGACTGTCAGTGATTTCTCCGAGCACAATGTCTTCAGTGTTCGTCCACGCTGTAGCCTGTGCCAGAACATCCTTCCTAAGGCTGAATGCTATTCGATGGCACGTACACAGCACAGTGTGCTTATCCAGTCATCCGTCGACAGTGTGAGCAGTGCTGCCGTGAACGTGGGTGTACGAATGTCCCTCGGAGACCCTGCGTTCAGTCCTTGGGTGTGCCCAGGAGCGGGTTGCTGGGTCCCATGAGTTAGGATGTGTTCGCTCCTCTTCCATTTTTGGGAGAAGTTTGAGGACTGATATTCATTCTCCTCTAAGTGTTTGGTGGAATCACCAGTGAAGCCATCTGGTCCTAGGGGTTTTTCTGTGTTCGTTTTTTAATTTTTTGATTTGCATCAGTGGTTCCTGACTCAAATCCATACACCTTATTGCTCTGTTCAGATTTTCTATTCTTTCCTGACTCGGCCTTGGAAGGTTGTATTTCCAGGAATTTTTCCACCACTTCCAGGTCGTCCGGTTTTTTGGAGCGTACCGGCTCAACGTCATCCTGGGGGTCCTCTGTGTTCGCGCGGGGTCCCTTGTAACATCTTCTCTTTTCTAATTTTATTTGACTCCTCTTTTCTTGGTAAGTCCAGCTAAATGCTCGTCTGTTTTGTTTACCTTTTCTAAAAAAGAGCCGAGTCTCACTGATGTTTTCTGTTTCCTGCTGCTGACTTTGGGTGCGTTTGTCCCAGCTCCTCGCGGTGCACAGGCAGGTGTCTGTTTGAGGTCTGTCAATGCACGTTCTTCATTGTAAACCTCCTTTTGTAGCCGCACATAAGTTTTGGTGGTTTTGTTCCCATTTTCGTTTCAAGATATTTCTAATTTCCTTTTGCTTGCTTTGACCCCTTGATTATCCCGTTGCGTGGGGATTTCCACATGCTCAGCGGTTTTTCGGCTTTCCTCTCATTGCTGATTTCTAGTTTCACACCACCGTGGTCAGAAAAGATGCTATGAGCTCAGTCTCCCTAACTCCGCTGAGACCTGTTTTGTGGCGTCATCTGACCTGACCTGGAGAACGTTCTGTGCGTCCATGTGACTTCTCGTAGATAAAAATGGCTCGTTTCAAGCTCTTAGCAACTTTGCTCACTGACGAAAGCTTCACTTTTTTTAATCTGCCTTTTCAAATGTTATGTCGTTATTTACCTCTTTTACGTTGCGTATTCAGTAACGATTTACAGTAGCTATGCTTGTTTTTAACGTTCTCTTCCTTGACCTTTATACAACAGCGAAGTGGTTCACACACGTCCTGTGCAGAACTGATCTCTGCGTGAGGCTGTCCCGGCGCACGGCCCGCTGTCACGTTTCCGTGTCCCTAATTAGCGCCTTTGCGTCTCAGCTTGAAGAGCCTCTTTCAGCGCTTCCGGGGGCGGCCCTCGTGGCAAGGCTGTCCCTCGGCTTCTGTCTGGGAAGGTCTTTATTCCTCCACTTCTGAAGAATGACTCTTCTCAGTAAAACAGTCCTGGCTGGCAATTTCTGAGGGTTTTTTTTCCCTTGAGCACTTCGAGCGTGTCACTCCGGGCACACAGGGTTTCTGCCGAGAGGTCCGCGCACAGCCTCATGGCAATTCCTCTGCAAGTTATTGGTTCCCTGGCTGCTGTTAGAATTCTTTCCTTAGCCGTGGTGTTTTGACAGTTTCATTATAATGTGTCGACATAATCGGGGTCGGTCCGCTTCGTGAACTTGGATGGCCTCTCCCTGGGTTTGGGACGTTCTCAGCTATTTTTCCTTTAAACAAGTTTTCTGCCCCTTTCTCCCTCCCTTCTCCTGGAACCGCAATTATTCTAACATTTGGGGTTTTTTGATGGAATCCCATAGATCACATAGGCTTTCTTCACTTTTTTCCTTTGTTCTCGGGGTTACTTCAAAATCCCCACCCCTTACTGGCCTACCTCACACTCGATCTAGACGGCTGTGCGCACATTTCCCCCCACACTCGTGAGTTCTTGGGCTCCAGAATTCCCGCGTGGTTCTTTTCATGATCTCTGACCTTTGGTGAGTGTCTTATTTTGAACCTGTATTTTTTAGTGTGTGATTTCATTGAATTGTCTGAGTTTTCTTGTAGCTTGCTGAGTTTCTTCAGAGCAGTTATTGTCAAGTCTTTATCAACGAGATTGTGAACGTTCACGCCTTTAGCCTCGGTTATCGGTTTCCTCGATTTTTCACGTTCCTTGTGGTCTTGCCTGGCTTCTCTCGCATGTGAGCAGCAGAAGCTCCTTCAATGTGGGTGCTGCCA